TGCGGAGACCTGGTCGTGATACAGAACTGATACAGATTTCAACGGCCCTTTCGTTCCAGACTTCTAGAACCGGTATGAATCTACAGCCACAGCGGCCACAGCCTCTTGTTGTGGAGGCAGGGCCAACTCATCAAGATAAGAGAAATACCTCGCACACTCGACACTGAGCACGGAAGAACACATTGGAAATCATTGAGGTATGTTCTCTACAATTTCCCGCTCATTCCGTGACATCACAGTAACTTTATGTAACTTTCAACTTTTCGACTTGAACACTTTTTGATTCTTTTGCACCTCAAGAAAACAAGGAAAAATGAGGTTAAGGAGTGAGAACAACACAGAGACCACCAATCAAACAAATCCTATCGACAAGAAAACAAGGTCAGGCCGGGAATAGCGGCACTAGTGTTTTTCAGTTTCGCACGCAATGGTCATTATGGCAAGAATCAAGAATGTTGGAAATTACTATAGGAAGTGCAACAACGTAGATCACGAACATGTTAAAATCTTCTTCTCTTCATATAGCGTAGAAGCAAGAGCGTGTTGGAAATTACTGTTGGAAGTGCAGCAACGTAACATCACGAGCGTAATAAAATGTTCTCATGTTCATTGCGTAGAAGCTCGAGCGTGTTGGAAATGACTAGAAGTGCAACAACGTAACATCCTGAGCGTGTGAAACGTTCTTCTGTTCACAGCGTCGAAGCAAGAGCGTGTTGGAAATTGCTAGTGGGAGTGCCAAAAGGTAACATCATGAGCGTGTGAAAATGCTCTTTCTTATGTTCATAGCGTAGAAGCAAGAACGTGTTTGAAATTACTTTGGGAAGCGCAAGGCGGATAAGCAAAGAACGCAAACGATTGAACGTTATTAGCCCGACCCCACCCCACCCCGTGCAAAAGTTACCATGAACATAAATATCAACATCATCATCATCATCATCTCTGAAAATACAAAAAACGCTAAATTCCTCAGCGCCACTATCCCCGGCGTGAGGAAAAACAAGGAAAGCTCCTCGCAGACTCGAGAAGTCCAAAAGGAGCTGCATGCGCCAGGTCGAAAAACGCGGAAACTACAAAAGCTGAAAAGGAATCACTGGTCCATTTTTTGACCTTTTGACTTTGTATGGCTTCTCGTTTTTCTACTTTTGACCTTGATCATTTTTCTATCGTTTGGATAGATAAACGAAATGGAGAAGCAGGCGAAAAGAAGCAAACAATTGTTCTTCTGCCTGTTGAATGGTTGTTTTTTCCTTCCAGTTTTTCTTGCGAAAAAGATAAAATACCAACTGGCAGATCTAATTGACTTAGCACAAACAACCCCTTAGCATCCCTGGCACCATTCACATTAGAAGAAACAACTGCTAAAACCTTAAGCTCTAGACAGCCTTCAAGTCTACCAAAGTGCGGCTGCGTCACATCATCAATGGCTTGGCAGCTGCAGGTTCTTCCTGTCACGAAGGTGGCACAGTCTACCACCCTCCACACCCCTCCGCGCTCTGAAACGCTCTTTTCAAATTCTTACGTGGCCTTGTTAACACGTGGTCAAACAAATTCAAAAGAAATTGCCACCTAAGGTGAGAATCAACCACCGGAATTGGTGACGAAAGAGTTGGCCTGCATCACGCATCGGATGGTGGCCTTTGGTGTCAAGTCTTAAGAGATGGAAAGCAGAAATCGTCCCGTGACAAGAAATTGGGATGCTCTTATCACACAGTCTGGATCAACCTGCATACTCATGTGTGTAAAATCGGCTGCGCATTATCAGTCTACAAATGTATCATATGTATGATAATCGTACGATTGTGTAAATAAGTCAATATAAACATACGTAGTGTTTTACTCAGTGGGAGATCCACGGCGAGGTCGGTCTGTATCTTTGACAAGAAAAGCAAGCTACAAGGCTTTGAGGAGCACACGCCCATTAGTGACAAACCGTTGAGAGATGTTTGAGCGGTAGACCTTGCTACAAGCTGCAGAAAGCAGGGGCAGAGAGCGGGACAGAGAAAAGGGCATAACATGGTATGACATGCACTTGCTACAGCTTTAAACTCCATCAAGCGCCATTCATGGCTTTGAACCCCTACTGTGGCCCGAGTTTACATGTAGTCTTTTGGACACCGACGCAGCACTTGGTGTAAGAAAGTCGATAAGAACACCTGACCCAGCAAAACACAGGACACTGCTTTGCAAGATCTGAGGACAAAAGGACCGGCACCACTTACTGCTACTGCAACGAAGTCTTTGTTTAAATTGTGCTCCGTTATTGTATATACTCAATATCTGAAAGCAGTGAGAAGATTGGGATAGATTGAGAAACAACAAACGAGTTCTTGGCTTGATATCAAGTTAGTCTCTTTGCGATATGAATCCGGTAAATGGTGTAGTGTAAAGAACAACTGACCCCTCTGGTGGGAAGAGCATGGAATCCAAATAACGCATAGATAAGCATAGATAAGAACAGTATATTATATAGCCGAGTATAATATAATTGATGATATTCAATGATATATAATGCATAATGATAAAACCATGGGTGTCTGACCCCCTTGTTACCTGGTACCACAGGGTCCACCTATGTTTACCCTGCAAACCCTTGGCAGACAATGTTCCAGATAAAATTACCCTTCGTGGCAGGTACTGTATCCGACCTAGCTAACATACGAAAATTGTGTCTTGTCAGGGTCTGACCCCCCAATGATTCTACCAGTGACTACCGAAGGGGATACTACTGGAATGACTGGAATGATCAATCTAAAGATAAGTAAAGGCAGCCTTGCCGAACTTGCCGCATTCCCTTCCTAGCCTTTCTGGCCGTTTGCCATTCCTTCCACTTTGGTCCTCTGCACTGTTCCGTACGGCCTGAGAAAAACTCGCTTGAACACAACGGGAGGTTGTATGAAAACGGGGCTTTAAATCAATCACACATCCAAACATTATCGCTTGTTTCTTCCTTATTGTTTCGCGGGGAAATGGCTACCGAGGAACCAAACCTTATCGTTTCCCATGAAAACAACATGCTGCAACTTTACTACACTCAGTGGAGCTGGAATTGTCGCGGCTGCTGGCACCAGTCTTGCCTTCAATTGCCACCCCAAAGAGATTGAAGTGCTACTTGTTTCAAATTACAAGACATGGGTGCACTGTGTTGTTGTTTCTTCTCACTCCTCCCTGTGTCAAGATTAGGAAATTTGCACTCCTGTCGCCTTCCTGAAATCGGCGCACTTCTTTTAGTGCGGACAGCGCCTCTTTCCCATGCTGGGCCAAAATCAAAGAAGCCGAGAATCATTGTTGAAGGCTCGCAAGTGGTGAGGGTTTTTGCAAATTCTTAGTAGCTTCCTAATTTAGAATTATGTGGAAATAGTGCCTCCAGAGACAGCTCTGCAAGCAGCGAATCCGAAACAGAACAGCCGTCCAAAACAGAGGCAGCACGGGCTGAAAAGCTAAAGGCGCGCCAACACATGCAGAAAGGGATTTGTTGCTGCGCAGCCGTAGAAAAAATAGGTCAAAACGTGAGATAAAAGGTTGGCAGACACTAAGGCCAGAGAGTCAATAGCTCAGTCGGTAGAGCGTCAGCCCAGCAAGTGGGAGGAGGGGAGATTGAGCCCCACAGAATATCTTACACTATGTGGAACATACACGGTTTCAGCTTCAGATTTCCTTGTGTTTTCTTTATCTGCAGTACATGAGTTGGATGTTCATTTTTTTGAAGCCCCAAGGCACCAGCTCTAGAGAAAGATGGAAAAGCGATTGTCGGCAAGCGAAAATCATTTGTTCAAACCCCTTACCCCCCCAAGGCACCAGCTCTGGAGGAAGATGGAAAAAACCGATTTTCGGCAGGCGAAAATCACTTTTTCAAGCCCCCTGCCCCCCCCAAGGCACCAGCTCTGGAGGAAGATGGAAAAACGATTATCGGCAAGCCCCAAGGCACCAAGATGGAAAAACCATTTATCGGCAAGCGAAAGCCACTTTTGGAGGAAGATGGCAAAAACGATTGTCGGCAAGCGAAAATCACTTTTTCAAGCCCCTTTTTCAAGGCAGTAGTAAAGAAAAATTGAAAAACGATTATCGGCAAGCAAACATCATTTTTTCAAGCCCCTGGCACCAGCTCTGGAGGAAGATGGAAAAAAACGATTTTCGGCAGGCAAAAATCACTTCTTCAGCACCTACCCTTTCCAAGGCACCAGCACCAGGGTGTGGCCTTTCCAAGCACCAACTTTGCAGATACATCCAAAAGAATGACTTTCAGCAAGCAAAAACCACCTTTTCAAATCTTGGCCCCTTCTAACCACGAGCTCTGGAAGAACAAGCAGCAGACGATTTTTCGGATCCGAAATTCACTTTCCCAATCAAACTTCATCCCCGATAATCGATTTTTTCAAGCCAAAAGCAAACAAATCAGGCCATATGCTGGGCCTATATGTGAATCTTATCGTTTTTCTTCCTTATCGTTTTGCCTGAAAATCAACTAAAGGACATATCAATACTAAATGCCAATACCCCCTTTTTACACAACCGGACCAGGGTACAAGCAGCCGTGCATGAACACGAACCCAATACTCGTCTTGGTATCAGCATTTATGGCATTCTACTTGTGTGAGCAAAAGTGGCAGCAACATTGGAGGTAGATGTTCTTGGGTGCCCTAGTGCCATCAGTTTTCGGAACTTAAACTTCGTCACAAATGTGGCAGGATCTCTGACACGCCCTCACAACTTCAGCATAAAAAATGATCATGCTGAAGGCTACAAGGACTTGCATGATTTGCTTGCGATGTTCTCCGTGCCTGCTTTGAATTGTGTTTTTAAACGCCAGCTTTGTCCAGTGGCATGTGCGAAGCCCCATCTGAGAGCGTAGCGACGCAAGGAGTTCCACATCCTTGCTGCAGAGTTTTCTTCTGTAGCTGTAGATGCTACGATGCGACATGCTGGGGCAAGCGGGAAGACATGGCAAAACTGCATGCAGTCTGCAGAGATACAGTCAAAACCTTTGGCGTAGCTGCACGGGGCTAGCTTTGAGCTGTCAGGGACAAATGAGTACTTTAAATATCTTTAATATCTTTAAATGATCTTCAAAGCTTGTTTCAGGAGGAACATCGATCCACCAAGACATGTTTCCTGGAACTGTCCTTCTCAGCCCAGTTTTCCGGCAGAGGCCATAGGAAAATGCCGTTGGCTTTCAGCCTAACCGACACACAGTTCATTGGATGCGTCCGATTTGAACAAGCATGAGCAAAAAGTGCAGTAGCAATGGGAAACAGAATCCTTTCCGTGAACACGCTGAAAGCAAGGCTTCCGTTTCCTTGTAGTAGCCTTTGCACCTGCTGCCAAGGAAGCAAAAAATGGAACACAGGAATCAAGAACCTGCGAAGTTGAATATTTAGCAATTTTTTGATCGGGAGACTTTCATTCTTCTCAGCGAATACCAATATTGTTCTGCCCGCACTTGCCTAAAAATATTCGCAGGGAAAACGCGCAACTTTCAGACTAAAGGTCTGAGAGAACATGATTGAAAATCCCATAATTTCTGTTCTTTTCAGATGTTTCGAGCATCTTCGTTTTTTGCTCCAGTAGTCTTTCATGTGTGTCTATGTTTCCTGTTTGTCTGCTTGTCTGCTTGTCTGCTTGTCTGCCTGCGTGCTTGCCTGCTTGCTTGCTTGCCTGCCTGCCTGCCTGCCTGCTTGCTTGCTTGCTTGCTTGCTTGTGTGTTGGTTGCTTCGTTCGTTCTTTCGTTCATTCGCAAGTTTGTTCTGCTGAGAGGAATTACTTACATGGAATTGGAAACCGCTCTGCCCAATGCGCCTGCTCCAACACCTGAAGGACTCAACAACACACACACACAAACCATTGACATGAACCGTGCATAAAACGCCAATGAAAATTACGCAGACTGTTATAAAATACCAAAATGCATCAAAATGCAACAATGGCCTGCATCGTCAGAAATTCGAAGGCTAAAGCACTCACCTTCCTTTGGAGCCTTCAAGGGTCTTTGACATTCTTTGACAGCATTCCAGAAAATCACACTCACTGGTATCGAAGTCCTGGTCATGTGTTGCGTTGTCGCACTGTCGTGTCAAATAGTGTCAAAGGCGCCTCATTATTGGCAGCCTGCTTTTCGGCAGCAGATCGCATGTCGAACCCATGCAGTGTTTGGACCTCAGTGCGTTGCTATATTGGCATGCCGCAATGCCACACACGCGAAACCTCCCGACCAATCCTGTCCATCCTTGGTCTTTGATCACCAGGCATCACTGCTATTTGCACCTTGCTTGCATGGTTTGCTTGTCCTTTCGCCTAAAATCTTAGACTATGTGACAGTATGTCCGAATCCGGTGACTCAGTCATATCAATGGTTATCAATGGTTCATGAGGACAAATTCGCCCTAGTCCTACGATTCTATGCGATTCTCCGATTCATCAACATCGCATAAATTTTATTCTTGTGTTTTCAAAGGCGGTGGCTGCAGCTCTGGCATCACTTGCATTCTGAAAGCGAGCAAGAGCCTGACACGCAGCTCTGCTGAAACACCCAGGAGAAAAGAGATGTAAAGAGCCCAAGAATGTCCAAGAATGCCCAAGAATGTCCAAGAACCCCATATAGTTTGGGTCTGGCATGGTCGGACTAGGGATCTTCCGAACCTCAATGAAGGTGGTTGAGACGATTGGAGATGAGCACATAGGGGAGTATCACGGTAGCTCCGGGATTTTGATAGAAAAACACGAGGAAGTATGTTTGTTGCTTGGTTCGTAGTTGACATGGCGTCGACGTGTGCATCATCCCGTGCGCATCGGGCAAAAGGTGCCAGAAAGACCTGGAATCCATTCAGCCCTTGCGAGATGACCTGCAGCGGCATCAAGTGGATGAAGCATGATGAAGCAGTGGTGGGTCAAATATTCGAAGTGAATCAAAGTGGTGAGAAACTGCTCTTGTTTGCGTCTTTCTGAGCACGTTAAGCGCACCACTGGGGGACCATCTAGAGGCCCCAGTCTTTGGAGTAAACTCTGCACCTGAAACAGACCAAGTGGTTGGGCATGTTGCTTGCCATCACGTTCCTATGCCTGAGTGAGTGCATGCACGCTTGCACGCATGGTGGACACTGAGAGGAATTGCGGCGGAAGGAAAGAACTGGCAGAGTAAGTGTAACATTTTTGACGTTATCGGAGCGTGCTTTAACATTTGAAAAGATGATAGCATGCCTGTGTACAATATATTAAAGCCACAACTGGTGCATGCATGCATACATATGGAGGTGTGTGATCATATACAAATTTCGTGTACTACACACCTACAGTGGAGAATCATCTGCATATTCTGTATAATATACATATAATATACATAATGTATATAAATACACAATATGAATATATATATATATATACGGATTATATACGTATATAAAATACACGCACACATATTCATATCGTATTCAGATTCTTTTGACATCATCTTGAGTATGCAGGGGTGGTATGCAAAGTATAAGTGCTCCAATCTTCGAAGCAGTTTCCAGCCTTTTGAGGCAAGACTTCCAGGGCAGCTGCAGCAACCTGGGAAAAGTTTCAAACCGTGGGCTGGATTCATGCAGCCAGCTCTGAAAGTGCCTGTCTAGATGCGATTTACATACACTAACAACACCATGAGATCTATCTATCTGTCTGTCTGTCTGCCTATCTACCTACCTATCTATCTATCTATCTACCTATCTATCTATCTATCTAATCTGATCTCATCAAAATCTAATCTAATCTATCTAATCTAATCTAATCAAAATCTAATCCAATCTAATCTAGTCTAGTCTAACTATCTATCTCTCTATCTATCAATCGATCGATCTATCGATCTATCGATCTATCGATCTACCGATCTACCGATCTATCGATCTATCCATCTATCGATCTATCCATCTATCCATCTATCGATCTATCCATCTGTCTATCTATCCATCTATCTTTTCTATTCTATTCTATTCTATTCTATTCTGATCTAATCTAATCTAATCTAACTACCTATCTAACTATCGGTCTATCGATCTATCGATCTATCGATCTATCTACCTATCTACCTAGCTACCTAGCTACCTATCTACCTAGCTACCTAGCTACCTAGCTACCTATCTCCCTATCTCCCTATCTAGCTATCTAGCTATCTAGCTATCTAGCTATCTAGCTATCGAGCTATCGAGCTATCTAGCTATCTAGCTATCTAGCTATCGAGCTATCTAGCTATCTAGCTATCCAGCTATCTATCTATCTATCTATCTATCTATCAAACCAGATGCTGCGCCTCCCAATTTGACCCCACGAGAATATTGTCTAGTGCGACATGGTCCTCCATCTGTCTAAAAGTATTGCGCCTGGCCACGCCAGGTCACGCAAAATCATCTTAGCAAAAAACCTGAAGATCTGATGCACCAAAATGCAACCCCTCTCAGGAAATCAGCGCCCTGACCTCCTAACATCTCTCATGAACATGTCTCTTGTACTGCGCCTGCCACGCGAAATGCATCTTTGCAGGTCCTCTTCAAATGTCCCACACCTGCCAACGCTTTTGAAACTGCGACAAAACCCTCAACATCTGGACGTCCAAAAGTGCTCCGAACCTGCCAATTTTTAACACGTTTGACTTCCAAATGTGCTTAGCGCCACAAAGGCGTGCTTTTTTTCGACATCTTGACTTCCAAGAGTGGTCCGAACCTGTCAGTTTTTAACACTTTTGACTTCGTAATGTGCTTTGCGCCACAACGGCGTGCACTTTTTGAACATCTCAACTTCCAAAAGTGCACTGAACGTGGTGTGTTTTGTACATTTTGACTTCGACATGTGCTTCGCGCAGCAATGGCGTGCACTCTGACAACATCTCAACTTCCAAAAGTGGTCCGAACTTGTCAGTTTTTAACACTTTTGACTTCGAAATGCGCTTCGCGCCACAACGGCGTGCACTTTTTCAACATCGCAACTTCCAAAAGTGATCCGAACCTGTCAGTTTTTAACACTTTTGACTTCCAAATGTGCTTTGCGCCACAGCGGCCTGCTTTTTTCAACTTCCAAAAGTGGTCCGAACCTGTGAGTCTTTGACACTTTTGACTTCGGAATGTGCTTCGCGCCACAACGGCATGCAGTTTTTCATCTCTCATCTGGCCAGATGGCTCCGCACCCGCCGCTTAAGCGAGCCTCTTTTCGACCCTTCTGAGCCACAAATCATTGGACAGTGAATCGCGACTTTTCTACCTTTTTCGCGCCCCTGCATCTTCTTTCTTCTGACATCTTCTGACTCTTTCTCTTCTCTGATCTTCTCTCTTCTTCTCTTCTCTTCTCTTCTCTGACTCTGCGAACCTCTGGTATTCCATCTCTCCATATTGTCGGAAGTTTGCCTTCTACGCTTCCTTCGATGATGTATGATTCATTGCAACACACAGACCCTTGAGATCCCTCAAGCCTCAAGACGCTCTCCCTATGCCAACCTTTCAGCTCCCAGCCAAGACGAGGGCCCCTTTTTGTAGCCGAGGCACCCATGATGCAGGGAAATTCTGTGCGATAACTGCCTGCAGCTCCCACGTATGACTTGGTCGCTCTTGATCCTATACGTCCTAGAGATAATCTTGATCCAATGCGCAGAATACATCCTATTTCGTCCATACCACTGGATCCGATCAAACTATCATGATTTTGGGCACTCCTAGTCCTAACCACCTGATTGTAATTTGTAAAGAAAATCCACGAGGAGAAGGGAAAATGCTTACTGCTCCACATTCAGTTTCCAAACTTGGCTCCAAGGATAGCTGAGCTCAGAAAACGACCGATTACAAGTCAGGGGAAAGTGCTGTGGCGAATCATACAAACATCAGCTGCAAAAGACTGCAAAGCATGGTCCTTCCTTTGCTCGTGCCTTTGATGATATCCAGAGACACCGATCGAATGTATTGCTTGCATTTTTGTGTCTTTTCCTACTTGAAAACATTCTAGAATCAAAATCTATAACAGTGTTTCATCACTGCATTAGTTTCTTTGGAATGCCTTCTGGAAAGAAACGATTGTAAAGGCTCGGCATTCTGTGGCTGTTGGCCAGAAGCCTTCTGGTGACCTGCTTGGCGTTTGTTCCCCTGGATTTCGCGCACCAAAAGCACACGAAAAGACGTGATAGTCTAGCATTTCAGTACTGAGTACCGGCTGGCTTTCTTAGTCACGTAAGGTATCTAGGCTTTGTATCTATGTAATACATTTAATCGATTGTTTGGCCACGCAAACGTATTGCTGCATAATTTGGTGACCATGCGAAACATCTGAATTTGCAGTACGCCATTTTCTTGCAAATAGAGATAAGCGCGTGCCACCCACCCCGCCCCTGCCACACTCTCTTTTTCATAGGGGGTGCTGCGAAGTCCTGGTGAGCTCACTCCCCCACGGCCGATTCGGGTGTGGAGGGTGGGACCTTGAAACTCTTGGGCCGTGATCTCGGAAGAGGCTATGAATCCTTCATGTTGCGCTCATACCTCACTGCACATTACAGATTCATCTCCACAGGAAACGCATGCCACCCACCCCACCCCTGCCACACTCTCTTTTTCATAGGGGGTGCTGTGAAGTCCTGGTGAGTTCACTCCCCTCCGTAGGTCACCAGGGCTGAGTGAGCCGCAACTTTTTCGCAAGATCTTGGTGGGCGGCCTGCGACCTCTTTAAGACAATCTCGCGATCGATCTCTTCAGCCAATCCCATTAGAACGTGAAGAGCCTTGAAGTCCAGATTCTGAAGATCAACTTCGATTCGCTTCCCTTCGGCGAGCATAGTGAAGTCTGGCATCGGCCTCCATGTTTTGCTCCCGAGGGGTCCTTGGAGATCCAGCTCAAGCTGCCTCTCTTGCATCTGAAGTGCTAGCTCCATAAGGATCACCGAGGCTGGGAATGCTGTGGACATGAGTCGATCCAGGATGTAGGCGTTGGTCTGGTTGTCGGTAGAGGGCGTAAGGGCGAGATGGCAAGCTAAATCCTGCCATTCTGCACCCGGTCCAAAGACCATCAGGGCGACTGTTATGGCTAAAAGCTGCAAAGATGAAATAATCTTAAACGGTTCCCCTTTGACAAAGATCCAAGGTGCGTTTTGGCGAGTCAAAGCCAATAGAAAACCACCTACCCGGACCCGGTACAGTACAACCTGAAAACGACTCCCCACCCCCCGATAGACACCACACCCGCATCCGCCTTCGCACCAACTCAGAATATTTCGCCCCTGGCCTAGGAACCGCTCAGCGGAGTCAAACGCACCGCTTCCTACAAGAACCGCAGCAGCGACATCTGATAGCCAAAGGAAGACCCGTAAAGCTCCCAGGCCCTAGTTTGAAGTCCACCCGGTACACCAGCGCCAAGAATGGCCGTGGGGGCTTCAAGGGGCCCGATAGGAAACCCATGCACCCCAATGCCGCGCGCATGTCCCTTCCCAGCACATCCCCGGGACAGTACCTCGCGGATCCAACTCTCCAGAAACAGCACCTTCTTGTTCGAGATCCCGACCAGGCCTTTCTTCACATCAATCAGGTAGCCCAACCACTCCACCTGTTGGCCGCCCCTTGTCTTTGGCAATGACAGCGCCCATTACCGTCAGGAAGGGTAGAAGGGCCAACAAAGCCTTCTGATATTTAGGACATGGTTATCAGGTAGGAACCGCTTCATCACACGCTGTAGCGTACCGGCCAGCCTCGACCACCAAAAGGCGGCCGAGGCGATGCCAAAGGTACCTATAGACGCAGTCGACGTATATCCTGTCGGAGTCGTCCAAGCGAAAGGCCTGTTTTCCCAAATCGTCTTTGTGAACCGGAATGAGGCGATTGGCTCCTTTGAAGTCATACGCCATGTCCAATCTGCGACAGTCGGCCTCAGACAGAAATTGGGCCAGGGCTCCCTCCAAATCATTGAAGGGAGGAAATCTCATCTGGCTCACTACCCGGATGTGATGATTAACTTCCACGCCGTGAGTGGCGTCGTGCACACTCGGACTTGGTCCCACGAAGGGTCCTTTGGGACCGCAGCCAGCGATACGACCTTCAAGGTGCTGCCGTACCGAGCTCGTGATTTCTTTTATGTCCCCCTTCGCCAGGTCCTTCTGGATCTTCTCAGTCACCTTCTCCGCTGATGGGGGTCGGGCAGATTCCACTGAATCTTTTACACTGCCGGGAAACCCTGAGTTCCTAGCGGGATCCCCGACGATGCCATCTCACCTAGATATTCACTATCGGGGTCCCCCGCGGCCTGTGCCACCGCCAGAAGGAGCCGGAATTCCACCGCTGAAGTTCTGTCATCCGGTCTCCTTTCCAACCCTACCAATTGCTCCACCCAATCCCTTCGTATTTCTTCGGGCAAGTCACCGAAAGGGTGCTCCTCCAACTTTCCGCACAACACCTGAGCGATCAGCCGGAGCTCCCTGCAGACAAGGGAGGTCGATCGTCCCCTGCCGACATGAAATTTCTGTGGTGCACCCCCGGGACGCGACAGCACTCACCTACTCTGTGTGGGATTCTC